CAGCAGGAAGCCTCCTTTCTGTGCCCCTGCAGGCTGTGTGGATATCCCCCTTTCTATGAAGAAACAGAGTCTAAGCTTTTTGAGAAGATCAAAGAGGGCTATTACGAGTTTGAGTCTCCGTTCTGGGACGACATTTCTGAGTCAGGTAAGGCCAGTGGGTAGGAGGGCCAAGATAGCAGGTTCCAGGCAGAGGCTGCCGAAAGAAAAGAGTTTAACAAAGGTTGGCAGCCTAGGCTCCTCTAGTCCCCAGAGATCTCACACACAGGCTGCCGAGGGGAGTAGAGAAATCTTCACCTGGCTCTAAGGCCAGATAAATTCTTGCATCTAAGTTTCACATTTTTGTTTTCCTAGAGGCAAAACCACAGTCTGCCTTGGGAAAGGGGTTGGAGTACAGATTAAATGAGAGGCCAGAAGGGCAGAATCAGGTGGAAGAGAGTGTTCTGAGCAGGAGTGGTGGCAACACCCAGGGATTAGCTTCCAAAACAGAGCATGCAATGTCTGTGTGTGAAAGCCGTTGTTCTTCGCATGTCCATTGGGCCCAGTAAGTGGAGAATTGGGGATGGAACAAGCCAGACACATGTGTGCCCATGTTATTGGTGCAAACACATGCCCATGTGGTGTGCAGGCATGTGGGCACCTTGTGACTAGTAGTGTTTCTACAGTGCTGTGTGGGCGAGGCTGCTTAGAGCCTCCCTTTGGTGGTTTATGGTGGGTTGATGTTAGGAGGTTTGGAATTTTTTTCTCTCTCTCTCTTTGAAGACTTAAAATTGCCTCTTTGGAAGATTAGCTAACGATGCATTTGCTGCCACCCACCAGCCCGGAAGTGAATTTCCATCAGTCATGAAATCTGGTCTTTGATTCTTATGTCTTTGATTGCTCCCCTTAGCCAAAGATTTTATCTGTCATTTGCTGGAGAAGGACCCAAATGAGCGGTATACCTGTGAGAAGGCCTTGCGGCACCCCTGGTGAGTGAGAAATGGAGTGTCCCTAGACCCTTGTCTTGGGGTTCCCCAAATCATGCTGACTCATTCACAGTGCATCCCCCTAGAATCTGTCTGCCCAGAGCCATTTACTGTGGAAACATGCAAGGAGCACACTCTTGTTGGTCAGGTCCAGGTAGACACACAAATAGCATGTAATCAAGCCGGTCTTGACCTGAGGGTGGGAGCTGAGCGCCCAATTTAAGACTCAGATGCAGCAGAACACTATCGTTCAGCACTGGGTGTCAGTTCCTACAGGGGGCAGTTTTCAGTACTAGTTACTTCCAAAACACCAAGAACAGGCAAGGCTGTCCCGTTCTTTGTGATTCATTATACTCTGGGATCAAAAACCTGTTCCATGTGAAGTAATTTAAGAACAACCACAAAGTAATCCCTGCTCAAGAACTTATAGTTGTTCTCCACTTCCCACTAGATTCCTTGTTTTTCCAGATTTTCCCCAATTTGACCTGACCCTTTATCTCCAGTTTCATTTCCCAAGATGCCCAACATACCTTCTCTGTCTGCAGAGGTCTGCAAGCCACACTTTTCTTCCTGCCCTTCCCACACCATGTGTCAAGCTCTATTCTAACCACACCTTAGACTATGCCATTTTCACCACCTACAATGTCCCACCTCTTGCCCTATGGGTAGCATCCTTCAGGATCTAGCTTGGTCTCTGCCCTTCCCTGAAGCCCCTGACTCCTACAGTCCATGCAGAACTCCCCGCTCTCTCCCCTAATTATGCAGCTCACCATGAATTACTGTAGTCCACACTTGCACTGTAAGCTCTCAGGGGTCTCTCACTCCTCTGAGTTCCTTAGTACAGTATAGTACACATGATGGCAAGTGTCAGAACAACACTTCGAAACCAGAGAATAAAAGGCCAAGGGGACAGGACAAGAGCAGCCTGTATCAAGTGGCCTCCTTCAGGAAGGCTTCCAGGAGAAAGTGGGTTCTGACCGAGGTTTTGAGCATGTTTTTCAATTGCTAAGGCCAGGATTCAAACCTCAGTCAGTCATGTGGAATCCAACTCCCTTATCCACCGGGCCACAGGGCCAACCCTGAACTCTTGCTACAGTGCAAAAGCAGCCACAGACCATACCTCAATGAAGGGGCATGGTGCATTCCAATAAAACTGAATTCACAAAAATAGGCAAGGGGTAGATTTGGTCTACATTTGGCCATTGCCTGCCAACCCTGCTTCAAAGCAAGCTTTTGGTCTTGCTGAAGCATAAACCCACTCTGATCTGACCATGGGGAGTCCTAGTTCTAGCCTGTTTCTACTATGGGCCACCCTTCTCCTGGGGCACTCACAGTCCTAGTCCGTGCCCTGGCTAAGTGTCCACTCAGTAGCCAGATGTCCCTCTTGCATCCACAGGATTGATGGAAACACAGCCCTGCACAGGGACATCTACCCATCAGTCAGCCTCCAGATCCAGAAGAACTTTGCCAAGAGCAAGTGGCGGGTAGGCAGAGCTCTCTTAGGGCTGGCAGGCTGCTCTGGGCCCCGGGAGGCTGCACTGGGGCCTGGACTGACCCAGGGCTTCCCTTGGGGGCATCCCAGCAGACACTGGAGTTCTCCGTTCCCTCTCTGAAAGGAGAAGTGGGCACGTTGTTTTTGAGAGGCTGTGGGGCCAAGGGAGAACGAGAGCCCATGGCCCTCCAAGGAGGCCGAGGCCAGAGGCTACCCTGTGTCTCCCCAGCAAGCCTTCAACGCGGCTGCCGTGGTGCACCACATGAGGAAGCTGCACATGAACCTGCACAGCCCAGTCATCCGCCCAGAGCTGGAGAACAGACCGCCAGTTTCGCCAGTCCTGGAGACCCTTAGACCCAACTCCCCTGAGATCACCATCACCGAGGCTCCAGCCCTAGATCAGAGCGTGGTCCCCACTGCATTGACCCGGCTACCCTGCCAGCACATCCCCCAGCCCACGGCACCTGGTGGCAGGTCCCTTAACTGCCTGGTCAACGGCTCCCTCCGCATCAGCAGTAGCCTGGTACCCATGCACCAGGGGCCCCTGGCCACTGGGCCCTGTGGCTGCTGCTCCAGCTGCCTGAGCATTGGGAACAAAGGGAAGTCCGCCTACTGCTCTGAGCCCACACTCCTCAAAAAGGCCAACAAAAAACAGTACGTATTTCTAGCAGGAGACAGAGCCTTAGCGCTGTTCAGCCTGGTCTGAAAAAAACTGACAAAGAGGCCTCCCCCATTCCCAGCAGTTCTGTAGGGTGGGATGAGCTCTGGATCAGGGGTCAGGGGAAATGCTTCCAGCCCATCGCTAGCTGTGGGACATTGACAAGTCAGTGAATGTCTGCTGTGCCCATCTGTAAAACGGACTGGGTGCTATCTACCTGTTCAAATTGCCTCACGGAGGTAAAAATTTCGGGAAGCAACAGAGATTATAAACGCTCACAAAAAGCTGCCATAGTTGAGCGGTAAGCATTAGTGTCCCAGAGTTTCTGGGGCCTCTGGGTCTCTGAGGAGGGAGAGGTGGCCTGGGAGCTGGGTCGCCCTATTTGCCGTCTCTGCAGGGACTCGTGCTCTCTGAACCCCATGAAGGTAGAGCCCAGCAGACGCCACAGACCCAGAGACCTACCCCAGCTCCTCTACCCTTCTCAAATACTTCAAAGGCTATTGTCCATTTCCTTTCCAGAAACTTCAAGTCAGAGGTCATGGTGCCAGTTAAAGCGAGTGGCAGCTCCCACTGCCGGGCAGGGCAGACTGGAGTCTGTCTCATTATGTGATCCCTGGAGCCTGTGTCTGTGTCACTGTAACTTCCAGGTAAGGGGACCATAGGCTGGAGGGCAAGGGTGAGAGGCTCAAGGGGCGCTCCCATTCCAGAAGGAAAGTCCCATCCTAGAATCTAAATGATGAGGCCTGTGGGGACTGGAGGTAGCAGCCTCCCCCCCAACCCTGAACCCCTCTGCCTTGCAGGAGAGATGTTCCACTCTTCTTTGTCCTTCCAAACCTGGCGTCTTCCCGGCAGAAGGAGGAAGAGAGAGCAGGCAGAGCAGAATTCAGCAGAAGCACTAGCCTGCTGCTGCCCAGGGCAGGCCCTCGCAGGAGGCCCAGGAGGGAGCCCGGAGGCACGGAGGCCTTGTTGACACCGTGAGCAGGAGGAGTGGCATCCACGGCTCCCAGGTCTCCTTGACCTGCCTGCTCCGTGCCCCCACACCCTATGTGCGTGGCTCTGCGCAGTGTACCTAGATAGCGCTCGCCTGGGTCTGTGTTGTACATTGTGAAAAGCTTAACGGGCTGGCTAGGCTGTGCCAGCTTTTCCGAGCAAAGCCATATGGAGCATCCACCAGACCCCGCTCTGCACACACACACTCCCACGTCTCAGGCCTCTGTCCTCAAGGCCAGGATGGGCTCTCTAATGTAGAGGCTTGCCCATCTGCATGACTGACAGGCGCTGCTGGGGTCTGCCTGTGAGTGCACCAAACTTTAATCCATGCACAGAGACCCCGGTGCACTTCAGCTCTCTCCTTTCCCACCTCAGTCTAAACAGTCACCAAGGTAGAAGAGACAGAAGCCCAAGACTGGAGGGAGGGCCAGAAGCCATCTTGCCACTTGCCTTCCACACACACCCAATGAAGGAAACAGAAGTGACTATTTTAATTTCAGCAAGGAATTCGGATGCTGCCACTGTACCCCTTTCTCTCTCTGCAAGGCAGGCACGTTCTTGTTTTCCCCCAGGTTTCTTGCTCCCAACCCTCTCCAGCTTTATGCTTGGTGTTGTGCTCAATAAAATGGACATATTTTTCTCTATGAAGCTTCATTTGGTTCTTTCGGAGTCACAAGCAGCTCAGGGACCATTTGGGAGGGAAGCCTGGGAGTGGGTAGAAACCAGCTAGTGCAGGTGACTGGATTAAGAGCATGCAGAGGGCCAGGCACCTCGCAATATGATTAATTCCATTTGCTCCTTGCCACAGCCCCTTGGGGTAGGTTCTGTTGGAGCCTGGGCGGTTTGGGTCCAAGATCCGTTCTCTTAACAACTGCACTAAAAGAGCACGAGTTCGAGGTCCCACATTGCCCTGCCACATCTGCCACCTTGAGTGGGTCACTGAGCCTTCCCTTCCATGCTCTGCTTGCTTGTCCCACAGGAATAACGGTGCCACCTGCATCATGAGATGACATGAACGATGTGCCCAATATAACTGAAGTGACTAAGGATGGTTGAGAAGTTCATGCATAAGCACCTAGCACAGTGCTCGGCCATGCTCGGCACACGTGTTCACGCCAGGCTCTTGCCCACATGCACACATACACCTGTTTACAGCTTCACTTTGAGATCCCAAGACACAGGTTCTGGCCTTAGTCCTTCCTTGGGGACTTGTGTGCATTTGGATATGCGACTTCCCTTCTCTGATTTCTAGGTCTTCATCTGTGAATGAGAAGAAGCTGGATCGCTGTTCAAGGGGAAACAGCTCTCTAGTCTCTCGAAAACAGAATCCATCAGGTCCTGGGGCAGAGGCCCTGCGGCCCCTAAGTTTGGGAGCATGCCAGCTGGACTGAGCGAAGTAGGGCATCCTATGAGTTTGAGTAGAGGGGCCCTCAGGAACTCCACGTGAGAGGCAGAAACTAGAGTAGTAAAGCTCTACTTAACTGAAAAACAACCCATCTCCCTCTTGGAGCTTCCAGGCTCCTTTCCAAAGATTTTTATTGGGCTTTTCATTTGTACATCGTTTTGTATCGGTAAGCTTTTGTATCGGTTCACAATCCAGCCACAGTGGAGGACAAAGGGTGCAGACACTGTCCAGTCCAGCTCCATCTCTATCTCCCCAGGGGCAGCTGCTGCCCAGGGCAATCATAATAGCCCTACCCAGGAGGTCACAGGTGTGCTTGAGGCTGCATGAAGGTTTCCTAGAATAGAAAACACTCCAACCTGATGTCTCCCCACAAAATCAAAGGGGGCAGAAGAGAGAGCCAGGGCCCAGGGGAGAGCATCACTTGCAGGTGGCGTAGTAGAGCACACGCCCATTGATGTGGTCGCGGATCTGCTCCACACGTTTCTCCAGGCCTGTCAGGTCCGCCGAGCGCAGTGTGATGGCCTGGCTCCCCCGTAGCAGCTCTGATTCCATGTCTGAGATAAGTGGGACAGCAGGGAGGAAGAACTGATGGCGAGACATCCAGAGACTCCCAACCCTTCCTTTTCCTCCCTGTCCCTGGAGAGTCATTTCATGGATGTCCAGTCTCCAAGGCAGTGGTCCCTTCATCCAGTGTCTCCCAGTCCATCCCCTGTCCCACTCTCAGAGAACGGTGACAGGAACCAGACTCAGGAGACCCCACTCCCAGCTCTCTCCTGGCCCCTGCCCCTTCCACTCTAGATGCTCTCAGAGGTCCCAGGGTGGTGTAAGAGCCAGAAGCACCAAGGTTACAACTTGATGCTGTTGGGCCCAGACAGCTGCCCTCTCGCCAATGATCCTCAAATGGGCACCTTAGCAAAAGAGCTGGCTGGGTGGCTAGAAGTCCTCCCCACTTTTCCTCCTAAAATGCCATTCCAGATAAATCTAGTCCTCCCATCCTGGTTCATTCTGCAAACCATCACCAGATCATACATGGGAGATTCTGAAGTGACCCAGGTGAGCCTGTCCCTACCCGGCCCCATCCCCTGCCCCTCTAGGGAAGAGTGTCTCTACCACATTCATGAACTGGCACCCCGCCCATCCTAAACGTTTTTAGGAATGGAGGTTAGGGGAGTACCTCCTTACAAGGCTCCAACTTCAGGCAGCTCTGGTTATTTAAAAAGTCAGCTCCTGAAGCTGAAGTCTACCTGCTGCTGGCTCCCACCCATCTTCCCTGGTCTGTTTCCTCGGGGTGAGGGAATGCATCTGCTCTGTTCCCACATGGCAATCCTCCTCACTTCTGAGGCTTCGTTTTCTCCAGGTTAAACATCTCTGCTTTTGCACTCAATCCTCATCTGGGTTCCTCTCCCCCTGAGGTAGGCAGACTTGTCAATAACCCTTCTGAAGATGAGCATCCATCACTTGAACACCATCCCCAGCCCAGATCCCATGACAGAGCACACTAGCAGGGTGACATTCAGTCAGTGGGCACCTCTTTGGACCTACAAGTTGATAAAATATTGAAACATGTCCATTGTGGTTGTTACACAGCTGCAATTCTGTTCTCTAGCTCCTGCTGCCAGGGCCCCCCACTCCTATGCATAATCCTCCTCAATTTCCAGCAGTTCAAGGAAACTTCCAGCGAGCAGGTAAATGCCTGTTCCAGTGTTAGCACCTAAGTCTTCTCTGGCGCCTGCCACACCAGCTGCTGAATAGCTTTCATATCACCCCTGAGCAGTTTCTCTTCTCACTCTGGCTGCTTGGTGCTTATTCGCTCGTTTGGCAGTAGAACACTTAGCGGGCTTATGGCAAGCTTGCACTTACTTAAAACTCTTGGGTCTTTTTCAGGTGAGTAACCACTCATGTTTGCCGATCACGTTCCAGTTACAAAGCGTTTTCAGAGGCCTTAATCACTGCAAAGCCAGGCCTCACCTGAGCTGCTCTTGTGGGTTGTTGCCCAAACAAGGCCAGAGTGGGAGGTAAATTTTATCCTTATTTAATTTCATGCTGTTAGTTTCAGCCCATCCTCTAGACTTTTGCTGTTGCTTTAGAATAGTGGTTCTATGATCCAGAGTATTAACTACCTATCATCCACAGATAAAGTTTATCTCTATCCAAAGTCCTGATGGGCAAGACCAGGACAAGGACTGACCCACCTCCAGCCCCTTCCTCTGGGGCTGGATCAATTTATTTTGTCTACTCTTCATGTGTGGTTGGCAACAGACACAGCTATTCATCATCAACCCACCAGCCCAGCTTTCTCTACGGTGTCCATATGGCTTCCAAAAGGGACTTGGGCTGAAATCTAGAGAAACTCCGTGGATTCTCTAGACATGCCTGCCCAGTGATCCATTAACACTTCTCAGAGATCGACTCTGGTTCCAGGAAATCCCCGCTTCCCTTTACGAAGACACCACAGGACGTTTTCAAAAGCTACTTCCATCTCATCCCTACCATATTCAAAACCCTCAAATGGTTCCCTACCGCTCCCAAGGCTAAGTCTGCCTCTGCACCCCAGGGTTGGGGACCAGCCACGATGGCCGATGCTGGGTCAGGCTGCTCTTCTACTGGCTCTCAATAGTCCTCTGCTCCTCAGAGCATGCTTGCTCCTTCTTGATGCCCCTTATCCTCCTCACAGCCTCTCCCAGGCTTCACATTCTTCTAGGTCCACCTCAAATCTTACCTTTTCTGCACACTCCCTTCAATGAACATTTCTCTCTACATTCATTTATCTTCTGAACCCTGAGAGTTCTTCTTTAAGCCCCAACATGGACCTCCCTTTCCTTTCAAACACAGATTCATGCATTTTGCAGGTGATAGGGGAAACTGGCCTCACCTGGATTGTGAGCTTCTTGAGGAGTGAGCAGTTCAAGTCATGTGAACGCCTCTGCATGTCCCCATAGCCCAGACTTACAAGGTGCTCTGTCAGTCCTGATGGAACTCATCCCCTCAGCACTGCTAGCTCCCACAGGGTGGGTCTTGGAAGTCCTGGGTTGGGACCAGCCTCTAGGGATGCCTCACAGTCCAAGCCTGGGCCATTTTCTCACCTTTCATTCTGTCCATCATCTCCATGGTCTCCCCAAACAGCTCCTCTGCCTCCATCTTAACGCTCAGGATCCGGCTGCCTTGCTCTCCCAGCATGGGAGTCCGACCCAACCGGTCCTTCAACTCGGCATATTTTTGCTTTATTCTCTCAAATCCCTGAAAAAGGTAGAATGGTCTCAGTGCCCCCATCACCACCCAAAGTCCTGAAGACCTATGATGAAGTTGTTTGATAGCATCCAAATCAGCGCACAGTGGTGAGGTGCCTCCTGCCATTCCCCAGTGGGTTGACTTTACCTACAAAACCCCAGGGCCATGGACTACACCTTAAACATCTGTATAAACTTCTCCCCCCATCTCCAACTCTTGTCATTCCCCACTGTACTGGCAGTACAGGGCCAGGAGCATAAGAGTATGTTAGTATTCAGTTGTCACTTTATAGTGTACTTGGCACCTTGGTCAATGTACCAGCAGTGCAAGTGCCAGTGTTCCTGGCCCTGAGGGAGCAAGGATTTCTAGGAATGCTGTGGGAGGATGGGTGTCCTGTGCTGTGAGGAGGGGTGTCAGTGCAGCTGTGGCAACTAAGTGTCTGGTAGGCCGAGACACTGCAGGTGGCTCTTCGATCTGCTCTGATCTAATTCTGACAGTGCTGAGCCAAGACTGTCTCTCCAGGCTGGAGACCCAGGACACTCTGAACTGGGTGTTAAGAGACCTGCTTTATAGATGAGTTTGGGGCCTATAGATAAATCACCACCTTGTCTGTGAAAGGAGAGGAATTGGACAAGACAGTCTCAAATGTCCCTGAACCAGCTACACCAAATGCAGCTGGAGCAGACTCCAAGTGCTGGCCAGGTTTGAGTTCATCCCAAAGCCCCTTCTGATGTGGGTATTCTAAACGCTTTGAGTGCATGGTCTCATAACGTGTGCAAACTTCTCTCCTGCTCAGGGTCCCCTCCCTGGCTGTGCACTGCTGGGATACCTCTGCCCTCTCCGTACCTCCTGGGCACTCAGTGCCCGCTCACTGGCACCCTCTGCGAGCTGCTGGGCCTGGGTAGCCTGTGCCTGCTGCTGCCGTGCCTGGCGGCGGAGCTCCTCCATCCGTGTCCGGAAGTCACCGAGCTGATCCGTCATGCCCGTCACCAGCCTTTCTGCTGGCCCCAGTACTTGCTGAACCTTTGCGAAAAGAGGGAGGAGAGTCAGGGTTGTGGTAGGTCTCACAGACTGGCCCCATACCATCCCCAGACCCGTGTCTGTCCACTGGCATCCAGGCCTCCTCCTTCTCTAGCTCAGCTGACTCCCACCCCTGCCTTTTCCCAAGGCTGTTACTCTCCTTCTCCAGACCTCCACCTCAGTTTCTGTCCAGCTCATTTTCTGGCATCTTCTATGCCTTGTGCCTAAATCTGTCTGTTCATTCCCGAATATGGGAAGGAGGAAGCCATAATGGCTCACCTCAGCAACCCTGTCCTGGATAAGCCGAAGGGAGCGGCTAGTGCCTTGCATGGTGTCCTGGGCTTCCTGCAGTGCCACCGTGCCCTGCCGCAGGTTTCCAACCACATCCTCCACCTGGCCCTCCACTGCATGGGCCCGGCTCCTATTCAAGGGAAGTAGAAGGGAAAGAAGAGAGAGGCTGCATGAACAGTGAAGGAACAGCATGTGGTTCAACTCAGGCCCCAGTCCCAGAGAACACCCTTCCCAGCCAAGGGGACCAAGGGGAAGACTGAGGAGAGTGTTAGCTCAGTAGCTCCCACAACTAGGACTCCACCCAGCATCATGAAGAGTGTGAGTGTTATGCCTGGGAAGCCCAGGGGACACAGTTTCCACTACAAGAGATGGGGCCATAGGAGTACAGTGTAACATGGACTCCGTGTAGCACTCACCTGCACCCACTCTGGTAGATAGCCTCTCTCCCCACAATAGGGTTGGGGAGCAAAGTACCTAGTAGCCTAGTCCTGGATAGGGAGCAGTCCAGGGCCCCCGGCTGTACCTGGCCTTCTCAGCCTCAGCCTGTAGCCTGCGGGCCCGTGCAATGTCTTGCTTGGTCTGGGACAGCACCAGATCCACATTGGGGAGCCTGGCTGCAATGGCCTGGATCTCGTTCATCTTCCGTAGGACTGTCTCCGAGTTTGTGGGCAGCCACAGGGCCAGCACGGCCTCACTGACCTCCTGGATGGTGGCTACGTCGGTGTCGGGGTCTGGAAGACAGCCATGCATCAGGCTGTGGGAGCTCACTCGCCTACCAGGACACCAGCAACCTCTCCCAGCTGAGCAGCACCACAGAAGGCACTGCCATGGCCCCTCTGCCGTGGTACCCCAAGGAACTGCTGCCCACTCTCAGCCAGACTCAGTGTCGGTTCCCAAGGATTTCTAGGAATGCTGTGGGAGGATGATTGTCCTGTGCTGCAAGGAGAAGTGTCAGCACAGCTGTGGCAACTAAGTGTCTGGTGGCACAGGAAGCTGCGGGCTGTGGAGAAGGCGGTGATGCCAGCAGCTGGTGCTGAACAAAGCCTGCGGCAGACACAATCAGCCCTAAATTGGGGAGAGCAGCCAGTGACTGGAGCTGTTTCCTTGCCAATAAGACCCTTCCCCGCACCCCTCTTCAGGCCAGAGGGCTCAACTTTGCAAAGGCAGATAAGGATTATCAAGTCTTTGCTGGAATGTCACCTTGTAGAGAAGCCAGCCATGACCATCTGCTCTAGAATTGCAACCACCACTGGGGCCAGCCTCCTAGCCTTCCTCCCTGCTTCATCTTTCTCTCACACTGAGCACCACCTCCATGCTGAACACTGAACTCATCATCTGTTTTTCCATCTCTTTCCTGATTAGAATGCAGGCTTCATGAGGGCAGGGACTGGGTTTGGTCCACTACTGTTTCCCAGAACTCTAGCACGGAACTGGCACTTGGAGGTCCTCAGTGTTTGCAGAGCGAATGTTTGACTGAGAGAGCACTGGATCCACATCGCGCCTTTACCATTCAAGCAGCCTGGGGCAACTCTGAGCTCAGTTTCCTGTAACATGAGAATAAAAATCCCTATCCTGAAAGTATGACATGAAACAATCAATTAGCAAGAGTTTTTATAAATGAACTCTGGGTTAGAAAGTAAAGTCAGAAGTACAGAAAGGACATTCCTATCAACTCTTCCTGTTTGTCTTGACAGACTTCACTGAGACTGAAGTATCAGGGAAGAAGACACTCACTCACCCAGATGGCTTTCTCTGGGGCCCCAAGCCCAGCCTTACTCTGCAACCAACTGGAAACACAGGTCCTATCCCCATCCCTCTTCCCACAGCAGGTGGCAAGACATTCCTGGAAGGTAGAAGCCTGTTCACTGCTATCTCATGGGGCCAGTCTGCCATAGCACCCCACCCAAAACCAAGGCAAAAGTGTGGTTGAGATGAATTAGGTGGTTAGGACCCTCCCCCTCAATACAGCAAGGCAACCTCTCATCCAATCCAAAGTCCTATTCTCAAAATAAGACTTGAGACAACCCTTCCCCAAAAAGTCTCCCACAGTGAGCACATAGTCTTGAAGCTCTGGCCCTTCCTTTATCTGCACCCCTTCAGCTGCATCTGAGACATTGATTGTTTTCATGGCCTTCTGACCCTCAGGGTGGGCTCAGCAAATATTTGCTGCTCTGAACCAGAGTCGTCAAGGAGCTGCAACTGCAAGTCAAGGTAGGCTCAGTCTAGTGGGAGAAACAGGCACGCACCAAGAGTGACCAGGGAAAACACAGGGCTAGGATAGCCATCGGAGGAATGCCTAACCCAGGCCGATAGTCCGCAGAGCCTTCCTACACGGTGGGGGATGCCTGAGAGCATTCTCAGGCTGAATAGCCAGTCAGGAGGAGTCGGGAAGGGGAGATAATCAGAGAGAAGAAAAACATTAGCAAGAGCAAGGAGCCAAGAGTGAGTGTGTGTGCATGTGTACACGCACGTGTGTGCATGCTACAGTGCAACATCAGAGAAGGTGCACATCGATACAAGCTCACTGTGTCTGAGTCCAGCTTGTACTGCCTTCCAGCCAGCTGCCCACATGCAGGTTGCTTAATGCTTAACCTTTCTGGGCCTAGATTAGTTACGTGCAAAGTGGAAGTAATAATAGTACCTAGCTCATGTCATCAAAATTAAATAATATGATACATGCAAAGCACTAGAACAGTGCCTAGACTGAGGAAGAACTTAGTAAACCTTAAGTTTTTATTTTGCCAATTTCATTTGAAGAGCTGGGAAAGGCAACATCTCTCCCTTTTTCCGTAGACTTTTCACTCTCCCTCCCACACTGGGACCCGGCATGCCAGCAGTAGGTGGCACCAGCGCCTCTTGCACCAGGACTCTGGGGACTAGAACCCACCACAGTGGCAACTGTGAGAATTTTCCCAGCTTCCTCCCAGGACCAGGCCTCTCTCAGGCCCTGCTCCTTCTCTTTGTCCCTGGTCCCATCACAGGTCTTGACCTGAGACACAGGAAAACTGCAAGACCTAAGGTCTGTTCAGGTGAGCCTAGAAAATTCCGATACACCTCCCATCTGCTGGCCAGGGTTAATGCAGGATGAGCAGTCACTCAGTCTCACTGGGCTTGACACAGGGGCAAGGTTCCCTTATCTATGAGTCTGAGCCCCAGTCCTTGGCCTTCCCCTTCATCCACATTTGCTGGGCACCATCTGCCTGCTTCCCCAGGTCCTGTTTCCCAGGGGTGGATGTCCTGGCCATGAGCAAGTCACGAGACCTCATGGCGCCTCCTTGCCTCTCTCTGACCCGCCATCTGTACTCAGCAGGGAGCTGTGGCCTATCTAGGTCAGAAACACTGAAAAAGTAACAAGAGCCACAGTTGTAACACCAAGCCCTCAGCTCACATTAATCAGGCTCCCAGCCAAGCAAATTCCCTGGCAGGGACAAGAAATCTAATAATATCAACTCACATTCCTGAGGCATCTTTAATTTTTCAAAACACATTTTCTATCAGTTGTTTGATCCTCGGAATAAACTTGTGAAATACTACCATTCCCGTTTGCAGAAGCATAAGATGAGGCAAAGAGAAAGGCAACCTGCCTGCAGTCTCACAAGTCTCAGAGCCCTGCCCAGGAACCCTCCCATCACACAGCCCTTTCTCACTCCCCAGGATGGTGAGGGAGGGGACCTGGCTCATTACTCATTCCCCCTGTTGGTGCCTTTCTGCGTCTGGCCTGATGTGAGGCGCTGGTAACATGGCAGTAAACAAGACACCCACCCATGCCCTCCTGTAGTCTCCTGGGGAGGGGAATGGCACACTAGTAGACAATGAATTCAAAAACCACAGAGCCTAAGTAGGGCGAGACAGTAAAGCACAGAGAGGAAGGGGAAGAGAGGGATGAAACCCAGACAGAGGGTCAGGAAAGGCCTCTCCGGGAAGATGACATTTAAACCTCCACCTCCACAAGGACAAGCAGCAGCAGCCTTGGTAAGCATTCCTGGCAGAGAAGGAGCAAATGAAAGTCACAGAGTAAGCAAGACCCAGTCATGGTCAAGGGCAGCCAGTGGCCAAGGGGAGAAGAACACAAGGTCACACTCGAGACATGGACCGAGGCCAGACTTCACAGGCTGTGAGAGAAGTTGGGAGTGATTCCAAGAACATGGTGAGGCCACTGAAGGTGAGACCATTGAAGGACTTTATACCAGAGTGCAAAGTGATCGACATATCCACATCAAAGACGTCTCTGGCTGCTCTGTTGAGAAGGTGGGAAGGGAGCTGCCGGGAGAGCCACGGGAGAGCCACGAGAAGCTCTGGGGCATGGACACGTGATGGGTGCCTGGATGGTGGCAAGCAAGCGATGCGGCAAGGAGGCGGCCGATGAACCAGATGTGGGAGTGAGGGCCGAGCAGTGATGCAAACACCAGCGAGGGCAGGGTGGAGGCCAGGCTCACCTGCAAGGAAGTCCCGGACCTGCTGGATGAGGAGCCGCGTGCGCCGGACGTCCTCCTCCATCTGGGAGCGGCTGGTGCTCACCTGGGTCTCCAGGCGCTGAGCATCTGACTGCACCTGTGACGCGGCCTCCTCGGCTGCCCTGATCTGTTCACACACCACAGGCCAGACGGGTGAGCACCCCAGAGAGTTTCTCTGCAGCCCTGTGGCTCTTGTGGCTCATCCTCCATCCCAAGATCTCCCTAGGAAACATTTGTAACCAACTCGCTTGGCCCCAGAAAAGGTGTGATGTTGGTAAAAATAATAATAATAATAAAGCCCAAAACATTGGCTCCAAACGATCTCACACTTGCTGTGTGGCCTAGAGCTAGTCGTCTACCCTCTCTGGGCTTTGGTCTCCTGACTGCAACATGGGAACTCAGAACTCTCCAGGGGCTCGGTCCTCTCCACCTCTTCCTTCCTGTACCCACCCCACCGCACAGTACCTACCATCTCCCTGGTCTGCTGGAGCTGGGCGTTGAAGCCTCGCAGCTGTTCAGCAACCTGCCCTGCCATCCGGATGGCCCCTCCAGCCCTCGGCAGGGCACCCCTGCAGTGGGAGCCACAGGCCGTGCCATTGTCTCGGGGACACAGCTCCCCAGGGCACGCTCCTGGTGTGCAGGGCGTCTGCCTGGAGCCCCCACAGAGCTGTGGAAAGATGGAGGTGTCAAGATGGCCACCCGAAGGTCTATCACACACCCAGAAAACAGACAGCCAGATATATCCATGACAACCAGGCACCAGAAACGTGTTTCCTTGGTAACCACCAAGCACAGGGTTACCAGGCACCAGAAACGTGTTTCCTTGGTAACCGCCAAGGGCAGGGTTGGGGCATAGGGTCGGGATGAGCAGCAGAGTGGGGTAGGTTCTCACGGGGGCAGGTTTGCCTGAATGGGAGCATGTGGCAGGAGCTGGGATATGAGGGGGCTCCAGAATGTGCCTTGAGTCACCTTGTTGATGGTGGGTGTGAGGTCAGGCCAAGTAGCCATCTCCAGCCTCAGGGCTGCAAGCTGGGGACTGCTGGCACCATGCCCTCCTCCTGTCATCTGCCCCTCCAGCCTCTCCGCCTCTCTCCGGCTCTCTCTGAGCTGGTGCAGCAAGCGGGAGCTGTCAGCCACCTGCTGGGCAGCCTGGGCCGAACGCTGGAAGGCTGTGGTCAGCATCCGGAAGGCTCCTGCGGAAAGAGGAGGGGCGTAGGAAGGGGACTGCTCCTGGCTGGACATGGAGGCCAGGCTGGAACAGCGGGAGGGCAGGGGGCACGGCGATGCCTGGGCTGCCAGGGAGCTCCTCTGCGCACCTGATGGGTCAGCACTGCTTATTTTTTCATACTGCTCCCTCTTGCTCTGGTACAGGATGAGGAGGTGATTGAAGCTTCTGTCCAGACTTCCCAGGTCTCCTGGGAGAGACACCGTCTCATCCTGGAGGGTCAGATCCTGCTGCAGGTCCTGGAGAGTTCGTCTGAGAGGGAGAGGAGCTTTCACTAAAGTGTAGGAAGGAGATTTGCTTCCCAGAACAAATTGTCCTTTTGGAGAAATCGTTACTGATTCAGGAAAACAGAGGTCTTGGGCAAAAGCAACAGAAGGAGAATCCCCAGGCCGAAGAGGATGCTGCCAGGCGGGACTGGAATGGCACCAGTGCAACCTCCCACCCTCTACAGGAGGCCTATGAAACTCTCCTGCAACGACTACACTCAGTGACCCGAATGTTCCCTGTTCTCCACCTCCCCCAGTTCCCTCCCCGGGTTTCCAGGAGGACATTATTCGGATCCCCTCCTAACCTCCCCACAGACTCACTTAGCCACCACCTTCACCTCCCTGGTTCCCAACTCTCTCCTCTGTGGTCCACACTTCAGACCCCACCACTG